TCAATTCCAAAAAAGTCAATAACAACAGAATGCAGACAAAAAAAACCCTGAATTTCATTTCATAAACCCATATGTTATTCCCAATAGAACATATCAAATGTTTAAACTCATGAAATGTACCATTTTATGGGGAAAAAAATGTCATTTTGAATTTGATTTTGGCAGCAACACATCTCAAAAAAATTTGGGACGGGGCAACAAATGGCTGGAAAAATATGTGTTACTATTTCTTATTTATGGAGTCATGTATTTATGGATTCACTAAGCCATGGTGGCTTAGTGGTTTGGACGTTTGCCTCACACTTCCAGGGTTGGGGGATCCTGCCTCCTGTGCTATAGATTAAAGGAAAATAATCCACAACGGGGTGGTGTGATGTCGTCTGAAGCGAATATTTTTCTATAACAAACACATCGCAAAGTGTTTATTCCTGTCATACCACAGCAATTTGGCCAGCATTTTCTTTTATTTAATAATGAAAGACATCTGTCTATCTATCGTTATGATTTCTTATGTTTTTGTGTATATGCTATACTAAATTGTTTCAGAAATTAAAACAAAATCTAAGATAAAACAAAGAAAACCTGAGTAAACACAAAATGCAGTTTTTAAATGATAATGTTATTTATTGAAGCAAGAAAGTTATCCAGTACCAACTGGTTTTGTGTGAAAATATATTTGTCCCCATAGTTACTAATTCCCCAAATCACTGAAACTGCATTCATAATGGAGTACAGCTGGACTAGACACAACCAGGCCGGATTACTGCAAACCCTGTTCAATCACATCAACACTTAAATAGAATTTCTTCAACAGCATGAAGTTGGTTAAAAGGTCTTACCCAGTAACACACAAAGAAATTCCAGAAATGATGAGGAAGAACGTGGCTGAAATACAACAGTCTGTGAAGGGTTATGAAGCTATTTCACAGGCTCTGCGACTCCAAAAAAAAAAAAACCCTCAGTGAATCTCCTGACCAGTAGGGGCAGTGTGCACCAACTCTACAGGTAACACCAACTCTGCAGGTAACCTCAGGGTCTAATGGTGATGACACTTACCAAGTTTTGTCACAATCCCTCAAGGCGTTTTGGAGGTACAGCCTCAAGTTCAATTTTGCACATTCTTCAAATTCGTTGAAGTGCCATCTGAAAACTTTCAAATTCAAAATTTTGTTAATATCTTTTTGATGTGAATGCACCTAGATTTCCCACAAGCGGTTCTATTAGCTGCCATAGACTTCCAGTGCAAAAGAAGAAGCAGAATTACAAGAAAACTTACTAAAACAACAACAACTAATAATAATAATAATAATAATAATAATAATAATAATAATAATAATAATATGGGTGACCTTTCGTCTCAAGTACAGTGAAAGAAAATAGATGACTTCAAAAGCCAATTACACTTCTTGGGTACAACACACACACACACACACACACACACACACACACGACTATAAGAAATACTGGGTTCGGAGAGAAAATAAAGTGGCTTGTCATACTAGTTTTACAGCTCATTTATCGTGTGATGCACATCATATGCAATTAGTATGTAACGCACATTCCATTCCAAGGTGTACAGCTGCAATCAAAAATATTTAACCCTCCAGTGCAAATCAGGTTTATTGGTGAACAAATCAGGTTTACAGGAAATCAGGTTTACAGGTGAACAAATCAGACAAAAGCAAGGGAAATAATTCAACACAATAAATGCTGCAAGTGGTTTCCCCAAATTCAACTGAAAATGCAACTTATAATGATTTCTCAAAATGATTCAACCCCCTGAATAGAATCCCTCAAAACAGCACAAATATGCAGAACAGGTGAACTGGCTAGGGGCAGAACATTTATGAAATATCTGGGTGAGGCAGAAAAAGGAAGCTATCAATGGCTGCGAGCAGATTTCTGAGAAGGCAGGTTGTGAAAAAACCCTTGAGTGACTGCTAAAGACACGCAGCAAGACTTGGTGGCAACAGTCACTTTATTATTATTTTTTTTACAATAACCTGATTTGTAATGGGGGTTGAATCATTTTGATTGCAACTGTATGTATGGTGTATTAGCTATTAGCGGTAGCTCTTAATAATAATAATAATAATAATAATAATAATAATAATAATGGGTGACCTTTCTATCACAAGCACGCTGAACGAAGATATACTTCCAAAATTACTCTTCTTGGTTACACTAACACACACACACACACACACACACACACACACACACACACTAGTAGTACACAGATGAGGCACTCTGTTTTCAAAAAACAAATATGCTCTAATCATGTACCAGCATTATGACAAAAATGTTCAAGCGATTCAAACAGCTTCAGTATTAAATATAAATGATAAATTACATCCCGTACATTTGCTGTGAGACATGAATTCTGCTCTCCACCAGGAAATCTTAAAGGAGAATGTCCGGGTTTCAGTCCGTATGTTGAAACTCTAGAGCAAGTGAATTAAGCACCAAGACAATGATCCAAAGCATAGGAGTCAGTCCTAGTCCTAGAAGTAAGAGAAAGACGGATCTTTAGTTTTTGAAGTGCAGTGATTCTGCTAAAGGTGGCACGACCAGATTTTAGGCTTAAGGGAGCAATTAGTTTTTCACATGGGTGATAGGTGTTGGACAACTTTTCTTTTTTTTTTTTTTTTGCTTTAATATAAATAAATAAATAAATAAATAAATAAATAAAAACTATAATATTATCTGTTTACTCAAGTGGGCTTTGGTTTATGTTCTATTTCATTTGAAGATCTAAAACTATTTCATATGAGATCTACACAAACGCAGAAGAAATCAGGAAATATTTTTTCACAGCACTATATAATGGATATATAGTATATATCTTCATGTGGTCTTAAAAGGCTCAACATGTCCCCGCTGAGCTTATTACCGTTTTGTTAGTTATTTAATGAGATTTAGAGATTAATAAGAGCGGAAGCTCAATATAATAATGAATAATAATGTTCTATCTGCGTTTTTGCTACTGTTCAAAAATCCACTCTCGAAATGTTTTACAATTTCCTTGATGTAAATTTTGATTAGAGTTTATAGTGTAGAACTTGCCAAGCTGTAAATATAAACTCCAGTTTTGTTCGCTGAAATGTCAAAACTTATATGAGAACCCTATACTTGGGAAGTGTTGTCTTTACGCTATGTGGGACCATTGGGACCACCGCTTGAAGTACCATACAATAGTTTTGGACCTTGAAAGGAAATTCTCTTATTATGTACCCTCTTATGTTATGAACTGCGCTCAAATATATGATGAATGTAATCATTTAGTTACCTCTTTGAATAAGCTGATCAACTGCTATCCTTGATTATATTATTATGTACTTCCGTGTCAACATGGGACTTATTCTGTATCATGACTATGTGCTGTGTGTTTTGACTAAATCTGTCTGATACCTGGATCAGTAGAAACCGTCCACGCAGTGCTGTTATCAATGTGTACAATGTCTATAAATACTGCTTTTTTGAATTGATAAATTAGGAAGTCTCTGTGAACGCTCACACCTGTCAGTGTGTGTGTGTTCATTTCGGACTCTCCAGGTGCCTGACTCTGCAGCAAACCACACACACTTTCTAGATCCTAGCAACATAGAACTAAAAGTCAACAAAAGTTAATAGAAGTTAATGGTACAACAGGCTGAAAGGCATGACGGAAGATCTGAAAGGCGTAATCTGTAGATTCCTGTGAGGTGGAAATCTAACAGACCTCAATTCGACGTGGACATTCTCGCTGTGGTTGCTAGGGTTACGGTTGCTACTATGGCCCTGGGACTGCAATTAGACCATGCAGTTTTGCACTTGGGTCTCCTTTAGTGAACAGTGGACTAGTTCAACAAAGACTTCAATTTAAAAGCATAACAAACTTCCCTTCACTTTCACACTGTCCATTGTTACATAGATGAGGACAGGTTCCCATCTGAGTCTGGTTTCTCTCAAGGTTTCTTCCTCATATCATCTTAGAGAGTTTTTCCTCACCACCATCAGCACCGGCTCACTCAATAGGGATAAATTCACACACTTAGAATCTGTATCCTGTGTTTATCCCGTGTTTATCCTATCACCAACTATCTCACTGACAGACTACAGTATGTGAGGCTCCAGGACTGTATGTCTGATGTGGTGGTCAGCAGCACGGGAGCACCACAGGGTACAGTGCGTGCTCCATTTCTATTCACCCTGTACACAGCAGACTTCAGGCAGAAAACTAACAGCTGCCACATGCAGAAGTTCTCTGATGATACGGTCATTGTTGGACGAGTATCAGAGGAGAACGATCAACGATCCCGGGAGGTCATCGCTGACTTTGTCAACTGGTGTGAATTAAACAACCTCTGCCTCAACACCAGGAAGACAAAGGAGATGGTAATCGACCTCTGCAGGAGGCCAACCCGGTCTACGCCGGTGAGCATCCAGGTTATTGACATAGAGAGGGTGGAGACTTATAAATTCCTGGGTGTTCACCTTAACACTAAACTTTACTGGTCCACAAACACAGCAGGATCCTGCTTAAAACTTTTTTTTGTTGTTGCATCATCAACCCACACATTATTACTATTTGTTTCTCACCTCTCTATTGTTAACTGTGCAACAATCCATTTAGCCACTCATGCATATAAACAAGGTGTTACACATCTGTATATATTCAAATTAGTATTCATCAGTACATACATTGATGTGTCCATAGTGTACATATTACCATTAGATACTTTATTTCAATTCTATTCCTATTTAATTGTATTCTTTCCTATCTGTTTTTTTTGTGTGTAACTGAGTTGCTGTAATGAGGGAATTTCCAGAGTGGGATCAATAAATGTTATCTTATCTTATATGTCTCTGTAAAGCTACCTTGAGACAATGTCCATTGTAAAAAGAAAAACACTATACAAATAAACATTTTATTGAATTGAATCTACTGCTATTTCTTAATAAAACTGTAACTAACCCAGATATTAGTTCATTATGACTAATCAACTGAGTGTACAGCGGGCACTGTGGTTTAGTGGTAGTACGTTTGTCTTGCACCTCCAGGGTTGGGGGTTCGATTCCTGCCTCTGGCCTGTGTGCGTGGAGTTTGCATGTTCTCCGTGTGATTTGGGGGTTTCCTCCAGGTACTCTGGTTTCCTCTGTAGACTGCAGTGTGTGCGATTGTGCCCTGAAATAGGATTTCACCCCGTCCAGGGTGTCCCCTGCCCTGTGCCCCGAGTTCCCTGGGATAAGCACCAGGCTCCCAGCAACCCCGTGTAGGATAAGCAGTATGGAAATGGATGGATGGAACTTAATGTGAATGGAAATGATTACAAGAGCCACATTTTTAAAAATTTTTATTGGTCTTATTCTCTTTACATAACTTACTACATAATCTCTAAATCTGATTGTCAGAAGATCGTATTTAAAGCTCCAGTTCCAAAGAAACATGCCATTTAAATGAAAAAAAAACAAAACAAATCCAGTGTCCTTTGACAAAATCTTACTCGCGACACAGTCGCGTTTTGCTTTCATGCCCATCTGAGGGGGTGCACAGTAGCACAGTATAGAGTACCCTTTAAAGATCTGAGAACCATAAAAAAAAAAAAATCTCAAGCAGAACGACAAAATGCCAACACCTTATATACATACAGTACAATTTCATTGTCTTCGGTGGGTTTTTCTGAGTCATGGTGTCATTGTACTTTAGGAATAATGGAAGCAGGTCACATCCTACAGCCGATGACACGTATCTGTTTAAAACGCTCTGTTACTTAAAAAAAAACTGACATAAATAGAATTCAGAATACAAGAGCACTTATTAACATGGTAAGGAATCTCAGAGCTTGAAGATCCCTCTGTTATGATTCAAGTTGTATCTGAGCCCTGGTTGATCTCTGTCATTCTCCCCTGCTCACATCAGTGAGACGGACCAGATACACAGTTCTGAGTGTGAAGATGAGGTGTGAACCGGCTGATGCGTTTGAGCGGTTTCGATTAGTATGAATCACCCAGTGAGAAAGTATTCTCAGCTAATCATCATTAATTCGCTATTAACCTAATTGAAAGGGAAGATGAAAGGTGTCTTTGTGTGTGTGTGTGTATTGTTCATGTGTATTAGAATGACTGATACCTGTATCATCAATACTTCTCAGTGACTCATGGATCACACTAATAAACATTTCTTCTACACTGGAATCCAATGTGAAAAAAGCAGGCCATTTTTAAAAGCTCACATGGTTTGGCTTATAACCTTGTCCACAGCTCACATTGCAGACTGGCTCTTAATTTAATCGATCAAAGGCATACACACACACACACACACACACACACACACACACACGCACACTTGTGACTACACAAGGAAAAGTTTAAATTGACTTGTCATACTAGTTATACAGTTCATTTATCGTGTGAGGCACATCATATGCATGGTATGTTGTTATGTATGGTGGTTATTAGCTATTAGAGGTAGGGTTCAATCAACTGAACGTACAAACAATTGATGTGACTCAGATACTGCTCAGTATGTAATAATAATAATAATAATAATAATAATAATAATAATAATAATAATAATAATAATAATAATAATAATGAGTGACCTTTCGTCACAAGTACAGTGAAAGAAAATTGATGACTTCAATATTATTGTTGCACACACACACACACACACACACACACACACACACACACACAAAAAAACAAAAAAAAAAAAAAAAAAAAAACAAACAACACCACCTAGTGGTGCACAGATGAGACACTCAGATTAAAAAACCTTTTGTTAAATAAGAAACAAACCTGAATACGCTCTAATCATGTACCAGCATTATGACAAAAATGTTCAAGCGATTCAAACAGCTTCAGTATTAAATATAAACGATAAATTACATCCCGTACATTTGCTGTGAGGACAGCTTTCATGGTCAGACGGTCAGCAGATAAGAAGTTAAGCCTTTTATGTAATTGTACAACAGTGTGCAAGCACAGCGCCTATTACACTGTACTACCTGCCATGAGGAAAGTTTCAAGGTCACCGTGTTACTGCAAATAGCTTCCCAAAACTAGCGAGTCTTTGACGGTAGCATGACAGTCCATTTTCTCATCTGCCTTAGCTCTTTTTTTTTTTCCCTGTCCCTTATTAATTCTTTCTGCCATTCAATGCTGTGAGCCATTCAGCAAGCTCCTGCAACAACGGCAGGGCAAATGCAGGGTAGTGCAACCCAAGCAGCATCCACAGAAACATCTAATTAGCTTAAATATCTCAGTGTTTTTCACCCTATTAGAGGGTTGCATTGTCGTCGTTCAAGAACTAGTCTCTGTTCAAACTAATGAGTTTACAGACATTTTCTGTTGTTTGACTGAAGCACAGCCCTGATAATACCTTTGTAAAAGGTACAGTCAGTGATTGCAGGTCAGAACACTTTTCTCCTTCAATTCGACCTGCTTTGATAAAGTGATGAAATAATGTACGAGTTTTAGATGGCTGGTATAATCTTGGACTTTCACGATTCTTCATAGGTCTTTCCCTGCAGTCTGGGTCACAAGATGAAAGAAGAAAACAGTGTGGCTAATTGTGGGACTGAAGTTGACGTGCCTGGTGGAAGACTTGTGCAGTTACTCTGGGGCTCCTCCTCAGTGTCACTGAATGCCGTGAAGTGGAAAGAGAAGGTTGTTGCCATGGGTACTGGCTTAAGGGTTTCAGCCCATTACGCGGCATTTTATTTAAAAAGTACCTGCTTCTGTAGCGCAGCATCTGAAAGTGCAGCAGTTGTTTTGTATATTGCACTTCAGGCATGATCATTTTCAGGCACACGTCCTTCGACACAGCAGACTCCTTTGATGCATTGACAGGTAAGTCGTACCCAACAATAGCCACTTTGGTGCTGGGCTGCCAGGGCCGCAGCTCTTTGTTGGTGATCTCCGAAGCTGAGCGTAACCGAGGTAAACTGCTGCCAAAACAGCCACGTACCATCTGTTCTTGGGCACGACGCAGCAGCTTTACTTCCCTAGCAACACAAGCTAGCCCCAGTTCATTCAGCCGTCTCCAAAGTGAGGTGTTAAAGTGGTCATACAGTGCAGCATCGATGGAATTCCATTCCCGGATTTTGCGCATTTGAGCTTCAGAAAGGTTGCCTTTAGAGGAAGCCATGCGCATGTTTTGCTTGAGGTAGAGCACATCCTCGAGGTCCCATGACAACAGATGCCGCAGCAGGACTAGTGATTCATCAAAATATTCTGCAATCATGACCAGTGAGAAGACACGTTCCACTTCTGCAGCAAATCGCTTCGCATAACTCACATCTGTGGATGCTCGGTCCTTATCGCCGCCCAGGTCAAAGGTCAGCGTATTCCTCGCATACATTGACTCTTTCTCCGCTGGACGATAGTAAGCCTTGGGCTTCTCCAGAAAAGCATCCAGAGACCCATTGGGGACTCGCTTAAAAGCTTCGCAGTACTGATTAAAGTAGGTGAACTGGGACTCAAACATGGCACCGGGCTCACGCAAGATGGTGATGTAGATGGTATTATTGGGCATGATGCGCTGCAGCTCAGAGTGGCTGAAGCGCATGTGATTGGTCACAATGTTCGGGGGCATGGTGTAGGGGTGGACAAAATGGGTGCTGAACGTGCGCGGGTAGCAGAACTGGTGCTCACACGAGGTGACTGGCAGCGCGACCGTGAGGTTGTTACGCTCTGCAAAGCGGAAGAATATGTTCTGCACAGTAGTGCTGGCGGTCTTGTGCGTCTTGAGGAAGACCACATTTGTGTGTTTGACTCTGGTGCCAGTTTGAGAAGAACGCATGGATGGGCAGCTCAGTCGGAATACTTCCATGGTCCTGTCGAGACAGAAAATGAATATTACCTGTGGTTTTTATGTAGAATGAGAGAAAGACCTCTGAAATCTGGATAACCTTTGGTTAGTAGGTTCTTACCAGTTGAGGTGACCCCCATGATGCAACAGCAAACTGACAGTGCTAACTGCCACCAGGACCAGGAAAATCTTCTTCTGAGACATCATCTGTTACTGAGAGAGAGAGAGAGAGAGAGAGAGAGAAGTGAGAGAGAGAGAGAGAGAGAGAGAGAGAGAGAGAGATATTAATCACCTGAGTTGAGTAAAGTGAGATGTTTCTGGTGAATGTGAGAGCCCATAATCAAATGCAAACTAGCTTCTGGAGTTGGATGCTAGTTCATCTACAGGGCCACTTCAGCACAAATGAATTCTGGGAGAGTATCCAGGCAGGTCTGTGCCCTCCGTACTCTCACTAGCATCACATGGCTGCACCAGGCACCATATTACACTATCTTATTTCCTTTCCCCATTCATTTCAGCCATCTTAAATAACGCTTTAACACAACATCCTGTTTCCAAGCGATCAAACCCAGACATCAGGGTAAATTAGTTTAATTACCATCATTGAGAGTAGTTATCTTGATACTCAATGCAGTATAAAAAGCACAGGTAAGTCAGTACTGCTAAGGAAGGTAGCTACCCTGGCTTTGCTTTTCACTTCAATTTGAAATGAAGTTAGATCACAGAACTCGCAGCTTAACCAGTGTGCAAAAAAATACATTTTAATGCCATTGTTGAGTGCCTGACTCCTGGCATGAATTTTTGTTCCAGTCTGGCCCTGTATTTGAGCATGTGACAATTAAAAACATGGTATTGATGTTTTATTATGCATTTCAGTTTATTCCGTTTATATAAAATGTGTGCCCCTGCATCATGCTGTATTTCTTTTTCTTTGTACTCACACACAGTACGTGAGCGAAGTAAAATCCATTGAGCTTATATACTGTGAATACACTGTGAATTTATCTTCTGTCGTGATGAAAAGGCTGAGATGGACGCAACTGCAGTTTATTTAATGACAGAAGTGCAAACAAATCCGAATCGATAGGCCAAGGTCAGGAAACAGGCTAGAGACAAGCCAAAGACTTATCACAAGAAACAGGAAACTTAACAAGGTCGAACCAGATCAACGAACACAGGAAAGTCAGCCTTGCTGGAAACGTCAGCTGCAGAGACAAACTTAGCGTACACTTCACACTGAGCAACGAAACGTGGCGGTTTGAATATAGAAACAAATCA